AACTGGGATTATTATTGGGTATATAGTGTATTTTGAGGTCACACTTCAGGACTCTGGGATGCGCTTCTAGGATTCAATTCTACAAGGCTACAAACACCCTGCAGGCTTGGAGCCTGCATTCAACAAGGAAGTGGGAGAACTTAAATGGTCAGGAGGTCAAAAGGATGGCCAGGGATCAGCCAGTAGGACACCCGTGTGTGCTGTTGCGAGTGTTGTGAACATGAGCTTCAGAACATTCATAGTGGCTTGCAGGACAGGCACCAGTTCTAGCAGTGCTGGGCCTCGGCGGTTTGGTTGCCCTTCTAACCCTAGAAGCCCAGGTACCCATACAGTAGGTCCTTGGGTTACAGATAGTATAAATTTATATAGGGGCTTAAAGACAGGAACCCAATATGTAGGTAAGCTCTTTCAGCCTGTTTTATCCCGGAGTAGTTATTGCTGGCATCCTGGAGGACATCACCATACAGGAGCCAAGGCTTTGCTAACCACGCCACCCCAAAACTGGCCTTTTGGGTTAGCCAGGAATGAAGGAATGGATCCCAATAGTAGTTCCTATAGGCCTCAGCTTGGGGTTTAGGGTTTAGGGCTATGGAAAATGAAATGCAAAAATGGCATATGAAATGGAAACTGGGATGATACAAGGATTTAGGGCCTAGGGGCGAACTACGTTTTTTTTGAAGCACAGGTGTTATCCACAGTACTAAGTATAAGGCACTATAGGATTTCCTTACCTGGTTATACTTTTGGTTTTCATTGCACCCTAAAACCCGAACTAAACCCTAAATCCCCAAACCCTTAAAACCTAAACCCTTAAACTTCATAGGGGCATCTGCTTGACTAAAAGGTTTCTGTACCACCGTACACAAGTTTCATTTCGACACTTACGAGACGTACACTGCAGAAAGGTATGCAAGTCGTAGACATGCCTGAGGAGGAATAATGAAGCTCTACTAGGTTGCCCAGTAACCCATTATGATAAGGGTACTCTTTTTCCTACTGTTCAGCTTTAATAAGGGAACCGCCAAAATAAAAGGGTAAAAGGCTACTACTGGGGTACCTGTCTACATGCAACAGGCATCTCCAGTCCAACGACCGTCTGAAATGCCGGTATTGTGATCCCTAAGGGTCCAAGGACCCAAACAATAGGGTTTAGGGCCCAAATACTATAGTATTAATGTTATTTGGGCCCTAAAATCTTGTTATTTGGGTCCTCGGACCCTTAGGGGATTGTAGCAGGTCTCTAGCTGGCCCCCTCAAGTTTGCAAAGTGAAGCAAAACTCCAGTTTCGTCGATTGGTGCTTGGATGGCCTTGGGCTACCCTAAACACTAAAGCCTAAAACCTAAACCCCAAACTAGCCCTATCTCAGCTTGCTGACTCTTTTGCGTAGGGACAGCTTTCAGCATCAATCTCAACTTGCCAACCCTCCGCGCTCTACGGGCAAACCGCACTGGCCCAAATGCTTTTGGCAACGAAGGTAGCATGCAGGGAACAATTCTGCAATGTTTACCTTCGGCGGAAATGTTCACTAGTGTAGTCAGGCTTTGTAAGCATAACCCTGGGGCTCTATGTCTATAAATAATGCCTACATTGGGCCCTAAACCCTAGAAATAGAACCTACATGGAGCCTTAGGGTAAGACACCATGGGTCTTAGCTTCATCTTTCAGGTGTTTCTACCTTGCTCCTGGGGATGCCAAGTTACACTGGAAGCTCGTCTGGTAATTCCAGATGCATCGGTCAATCCTTTGCTGTGCTCACTTTCATGTTCTGCGACGGAACACGGATGCGACGAACAAACACGGCGCCCGTTTTCGGAATCTCCAATAAGACGTATAGTATCTGGCGGTATATAAGCCTTGTTTGTTGACATGCCCTGATGCCCTAATGGTGCTTGAGGGTCCAATCCTCTCTTGGAGGAACCGCTTCTGTACTTGAGGAACAGGTTTGTCAAGGCTTAGGTGTTAGGAGTCATATTTGCCTTGCACGCTCCACAAATTATCTTGTTGTCGTTCCGTCATGAAACTGCAGTAAGACTGTGCTGGCATAGACACCCTAATTAAACCTTACAACCTGATAAGTGTGGCACAGGGGTATTCTAATTATTTTGGCCCGACCATGTTCAGTAGTGCTACTGCCACTGTTGCCCGTAGCCTCAAGTTCAAGGTAGTTATCAGTTACCATGATGACCAGCATATGTTTTACCACTACCTGGAACTCTAAGATCTACAGTAGGCAATACATAACACAAAGCGAATCAACAGAGCAAAAAAGGCTATAGCCAAGCATTATGAAATTAGGAGGACCCCCCACCTTGTAATAGTGATGTAACAGGGGAATATAGTAGGACCCTAATATAATCCTTTTTATCCCATATAGCCACTATTACTGGGTGGGGGATCCACCTGAACTATGAATTACATCAGCCCTTGTAGTTCCCAAGGCTAAAACCAAAACCAACAACTTCCAACACATGATCCCTGATCCCCCAACTACCTGAAGCCCTGATTCCGAACACCCTACAGCGAAATAATTTGAAACTGCACATAGCCCAAAACCAGGGTTTCTGAAAATTAGGTGTCCATTTTTGGCGGGGTACCCAGGACAGGGATTGTGGTGTATATGTGGGGTTCTCTAGGGGTACCCTAATCTTTCGCAAGCTACCAAATCCCTTAAACCAAAATACCTTAGGAGGACCCCCCACCCTGTAATAGTGGCATAATAGGAATATGCTAGGACCCTAATATAATCCTTATTATCCCTTATAGTCACTATTACTGGGTGGGGGGTCCACCTAAAGAATACCCTACACTGAGACCCTGAAGCTCCAAACCTTGCAGCGTGAGTCATTCACCGCAAGCCTGTACGATGTTTATGATGTTAAGGGTTTAGGGTTAAGGGTTTAGGGTTTAGGGTTTAGGGTTGAGGGTTAGGGGGGTTAGGGTTAAGGCTTTAGGGTTTAGGGTTTAGGCTCTACCCAGACCCTCCTATGTAGTTCTTTTTTGGGTAGAATATTATAATCCCTTACCCAAAAACCATAACAAACCCAAAAAGGAACTACATTGGAGCCCTTGGGTAGGGTTTAAGGTTTAGGGTTTAGGCTCTATTATAAAGGCTCCAAGTCCATGCGATTGGCCCGACAGGGGTTTAGGGTTTGAGTTTAATTGGAATTGGGTTCTGTGGGATTGTACCAAAGCTGTGCAAGAACAGCCATAATCTCGCCTTACCCTAATTCCCAAGGTACAAGGTATATACTGGGGTCATCAATTGCAACAGCCCAGTTATTCCCATAATTGACCTTCGCACTAAGTCCCCCTGACCCTGCAAGTATCGTAGGGCCCCCTACCACACATTTAGGGATAATCATGGTGAATTAAAGGAGAACCTCGGGGGGGTGGGGGTGTTACTATAGAGGGGGGTAGTAGGGGAACCCATGAAAGTAAATAGCATCTCTGAAATGTCATATTTCTTCAAGCCTCCAGCCCTGAGCCCTAGGCAGCCCTCCGGCCATCCCTAAATACCCCCTGGAGACCCCATGTACCGAAGCTGGTCTTGATGGCCTGTTCTTTTCTCTGAGCTTTCCGGAGCCTAAACCCTAAACCCCAAACCGCAAATTTCAAACACTAAAGCCTTCGTCCCAAACCCTAGGCCCTAAATCCCAAACCCTGAACCATACATCCAAAATCCTGAACCCTGAACCCTCAACCAAACCCGAAGCCCTGTATCCCAAATCCCAAGCTCAAACCCTACACCCTAAACCCTAAGCTCTAAACTTTAAACCCTCAACTCTATACACCCTTATACTCCTAAACCCTAAAACCCTACAACCCTAAACCCTGAACCCTCAACTCTAAGCCCTTTTTCTTGGACTCTTCAGAGGTCGGGCGTCTGCGCGGAATCCACGGACGAGAGGCCGACGGATTCCAGAGCCTTCTGAGCCAGGCCCCCAGACCTCTGTAGGGTTCAGGATTCAGGGTTTTAAGGTTTAGGGTTTTAAGGTTTAGGTTTTAAGGTTTAGGGTTGCAAGGTTAAGGGTTTAAAGGTTTAGGGTTTAAGGTTTAGGGTTTTAAGGTTTAGGGTTTTAGGGTTTAAGTGTTAGGGTCTAGGCATAAGCCCCAGAATTCCCTATAAGGACCCTCAGAAGAGTTGATTCGGGGCTTGGGGAGATTACCTGGAGGTTCCTTGAGCAGAGGGATCTTACCCCAGTAGTGGAGAATCAAATCAAAAATGGGACATGAACTACCCGAAACCCTAAACCCTTGGTTGGGCTCAGGGTCAGCTCCTATAATAAAATGAAAGCATGTTGGGGTCTAGAGTGAAGTGCCCCTCTCTAGATTCCCCAGTAACCCCTCATTAATAGGGGTACCCTTTTCCCTATATGTTCACTTTCAATATGGGGACCTCAAAGTAGAAAGGGACAAGGGTATTACTGGGGTACCTAGCCTTTTATGGAAACTACCAGGTAGGATATCCTTCTGGTGTAGATTATACGGGGAGGTTAGGGGTTTCCGAGCTCTAGGGTTCAGGAGGGCTAGCGAGGCTTAGGGAAGATTGAAAGGGGGAATCCAACTCTAACCTGGGAAGACTCGAAAATACACCCTAAAGCCTACCTGAACCCCACAAGTATGTAGAATAATGGCATTTGGGCTATATTAAGAGGTTTTGTGCCATTATTTTACCTAGTCTTGGGGTTCAGGTGAACCTTGGTGTCAGCATCCCTACTTATAACTCGGCAGCTCAACCTATGCACTCAGTGCTTGAACCAAGTGGCGAACACTTCAAACTCAGATGTCCGGCTTTCAGCTTAGCTGATGAGGCTCTAGCCTATATATAGTAGTTTCCATCTTAATTTCATTACCCCAATACATCGCCAATACAACCCTATATAACCCATTATAGTAGTTTCCATTTTTCCATTATCCCAATATATCCCCAATATAACCCCATATAACCCGTTATAATAGTTTCCATTCTAGTTTCCATTAGCCCAATATCCCTAAACCCTAACCCCTAAAATTCCAACATTCAAAAGCTGAAATTCTTGGAGTAGTAAACGGTAAAGATTCGAGTTTGGGGCTGTAAGAACTCAAGTTTTTGGGTGGGAAGCTCGAAGCGCTCGGTGCTTCCCATGTTTCAGCAATAGGCCCCTTAAGTAGATACAATGTAGGGCATTATAGGGATAATGGAAAAGAAGATGGAAATTACTATCTAGGGTTTGGCAAAACATCGATTCTGAAGTGTGTAGTTGTCTGGATGGAAATTGTTCAAAATATCTGTGGAGGAATTGCCATAATTCTCCTTTTTTGCTTCAGACCTCCTTTCAAGGAAGCATATGCGCGACGGCCCCTCCCTTCCTAAAGCCTCTTGGAGCAAAACCCAAATGCAGTGAGAATGCCTGCTTACGCTTTGGGATTTTGAATGGAAAATACTCGGTTTGGCAGACCCCCTCTCAGTACCCGCAATGTGCTGCTTGGTCAGCTGCCCCTCCCTCTGGGCAAGTACTCATCTTCCCCTAACTTAAGTAAAGGGTTGAGGTTCAGATTTGTAGAAGCACGCCCAAGACACATGCCCACTAAAGAAAGAATCATTAGGTAACACTGTTCTTGCCAAGGGTCTTGTAGAAGAGAGCATACCAGAAGCCTGCACCGCCGTCAGAGCTGTAGTCTAAATACCCGGTATCCCTCTTAATAAGCCCTATAATTCTCCCCTATATCATCCCCTATATAACCGCCTCCAATAGTCTAAGGAGTTTTCACTATAGCTCATAAGAGTGATAGGGTGATCATGAACATCTCAGGGGCAGGTGTGGCCCTAAACCCTGAACCCTAAACCGGGGATTCAGGAAACCCTAGGCCCTAAACACTTAACCCTAGTTTCCACTGCGACAACAAAGCGAAAAATGTATGAATAATTCCCATGTGGGAACTTTTTCAATGGAGGACTCGCTGGGGTGCCCAAACTGCTGAACTGCAAAAACCTAGTCTGGACTTGAGAAAAAAGGGTGGGTTCATATCCCGCAGTATCCCAAATGCAGGTAATTAGGATTCTTTGGGATACTAGGTGCAATGGTCTTAATGGTGTTCGCTACCTAAAGATGCAAAGTTTAGGATACCTGGACCTTCAGCGTAACCGTGCGGGTTTAAAGGTTTAGGACCAACACCGGACCTAACCCTACCTGGACCTCCCAAATGCCCAGTGTCTTGCTGGTGGTTAGTAGGGAACTAGGGAGTTTAACCCCCCATTCAAATCCATAAAATGTATTTCTTTATTCCATATTAAGCCCCAGTAAGTTGTAACGCCCTTTTACCTCCAAATCATGGGTACATAGGCTATCTTCACGGGCATTTAAGATGTCCTGGTAGAAGCTGCAAAGACTTGCGTGTTGAACAATACCTGGAATCGCAGGACAACGAGCATCAGGCCTACGCAATCTTTGTCCCCGCATGCTAGGAGAAAGCATGCTGCCGAAAAGCGCAGCACTAAACCCTCAATCCTGAGTCCTGAACCCCAAACCTTGAACTCAAAACTCCTAACACTGAAGCCTAAGCCCTAAACACTGAACCCCAAACCCTAAAGACTGAAACTAAAGACCTAAACCCTGAACTCGAAACCTTGAACCCCGAACCCTAAACCCTAAGCACAGCTGTCAAGGTCTCTCCGCACATCCCTCGAACAAGCGCACCAACGCCAGAAACAGCAATACTCTCCGGAAGACAAGAAGAATTCTTCCCAATACAACCCTAAGGGTCCAAGGACGCACATAATAGGGTTTTAGCGCCCAAATACCATTAATGTTATAGTATTCGGGCCCTAAAACCCTATTATTTGGGTCCTTGGACCCTTAGGGCGAGTCCCAGGGATGCATGTCTACAGATGCCCAGCCTCAAAATATAGGGGGACATATTGGGATAATGGAAAATAAACGGGAAACTACTGTAATGGCTTATATAAGGTTATGTTGGGGATATATTGGCATCATGTAAAATAGAATGGAAACTACTATAATGGGTTATGTTGGGGTTATATAGGGATAACGGAAAAAGAAAATGGAAACTACTTCAATGCGGATATAGAAGGTTTAGGGTTGAAGGTATAGTCTAAACTCCTAGTATCACCCTTTATATCCCCTATAGTACTCCCATATATATATATATATACACACACCTGTAGACCCCTTCAAGGAGTTTAGATTCTACCTCAGATAATACCTACCTTGGGTCCTGAGGCCCAGTATGCCGGGCTATTTGGATCCCTATAAAAATCTCACAAATAATGGAAGCACAATGGGGCCTGGCAGTCGAAGCACTAGAGGATGGGGATTGAGGGGGGATTATCAGCCTTAAATCCTGAATCCTAGGCCCCTACCCTAAACCTAAATCCTAAACAGGGTTTAGGGTTTAGGGTTTGATTTCCTAAATCCCAGGCCCCTACACTAAACCCTAAATCCTAAACCCAAAGCCCCTGAAGCCCATAAGTGTCACATATTTATTCGTCTCACTGGCTCTCTCCTTGGCCACACTCTCCACCAATGAAGTACCCGCCAGCAGGCTTCCTTGACACGTTTCTATCGTGAAATGGGAGGGGCGAAGGGATCCTGGAGGTAAACGAGCTGTAGCCTAAACTCCTAGCACCCCCCCCTTAATAGCCCTAGTCTCCTATATAAAGCCCCTATAGAAAAAATCCCGTCAAGGAGTATAGACTATAGCTCAAATTGGGTTTAGGATGTAGGGTTTCGGGTTTGGGTCCAGGGGATTCTGAGGGGGTCCAAGGTCCCAAAACATGATACTCTCCAGTAAGAGTCACAAGCTCGACAGAGCCAATACTACGACCCTGAGAGAAGCACCTGCCACAGATGAGCATCCTTACACAGGAAGTGTTTGTTTTTGGGAACAGCCATTCAATTTCGGGTAGTTTGGCCTCCTCAACCCTAAACTCTGGGTTAAGGGGCTTATGGCTTAGGGTGTATAAAGCCCAGAGCCTGGGGAATGTTATGGCACAAGCGAAGGAAATGCCAAGATTTGGCCGACCTGCTGGGTAAGGCCTAACTCACTCCCGGTAGACCCTAAATCCTAAATCCTGAGCCCTAAGCCCCGAAATTTAACCCCAAAAGTCTGAACTCAAAACCCTAAAACCCCTAAACTATAAACCCTAAACCCTAAGCCACCTGAACTCTAAACCCTAAGCCCTAAACAGGGTGAACTCAAAACTCTTAATCCCGGAGCCGCTTCATCAGTCATCCTTGGACACAGTTTACCCTAAGGGTCCAAGTACCTAATAAGCATATACTTACCCCAAAACCTGTACAATAACTACTATTACCCAAATCCTAAGTACCTACTTATTGGGTACTTGGAATTTTAGGGTTAAGGAAGGGTAGCAGTTTTGGGGCATGAAGGGTTGCACCGAGCGTTGGGTCAGAAACACCTGGCCAAGATACCCTCACTTACTGGTGGACAGTAGGGTTTATGGCTTAGGGCTTAACTGGATAGGGGTGCATTCTTAATGAGGTCATACGCGGCTGAATACAGGGAGATACAAGGTTCTGTTACACGCCTTGTTCCAACCTGCAGTCCAGGAATAGCAAGGCGGTTATGAACCCTTTTGTTAGGCTTTGCTTCAATATCCAAATAGCCGGAAATAGATACCCTAAATCCTAAACCTTAAGGACCCAACGTACGTAAAGAAACCAAGACACAATGCAGTCCCTTCGGGTTTCTTCCTTTTCTTCAACTATTAATGCCCCAAACCCTAAAACCAGTCCCTAAACCCTAAATCATAATTGCCATTTTCTTTTCCATCATCCCCAGTTATATCCCTCTGTCTCCCCTATATCCCCCCTAGGGCAAAAGCCTCCAAGCTTCAGATTTGGGATACCAACTTGACCACATCTGGGCCCCGTCACGAGGAGAATTTTGTCAACCTCAACCCCACAACTAAGTACCCCTTGTAGGGGGTTTAAGATTTAGAGTTTAGGGTTCGGGGCCCCCAACTAAGTACCCCTTGTAGTGGCTTTAGGATTTAGGGTTTAGGGCCCCCTACTAAGTTCCCCTTATAGTGGGTTTAGGATTTAGGGTTTAGGGCCCCCAATTAAGTACCCCTTGCAGTGGGTTTAAGATTTAGGGTTTAGGGCTTAGGGCCCGCAACTAAGTACCCCTTGAAGCCGCATGTGACTTTGACAGGGTCCAAGATTGGGCAGGATTATCCAAATCCTCCCATCACCCATTTCGAAGTGATCAGCATGAACGCTATGATCAAACACGCCCTTGTACACTCGCAGATGCTCCATGATAAGAACCCTGGAAACTTGAATGAGAACGAACGAATCCCTGAAAGATCCCCATTTCTGGTCGGTTGATGGCAGCTCAGTGTCCATCCCATGTTGCCCCAAGAGTGTTCGTGGGAAAAGTCGGCCTCTTTCGCGAAATTCCTCGGGCACACGTCAACGTAGCCTTTAGCAGATAGCCCCTTCCAAACAAGCATGGAAGCTTAGAAGGTCCCCTGAAAGGCCCATCTAGGGCTAAAGCAACTACAGCTGACAGCAGTTCATGCATGATTGCATCACGGGTTCCCTTACTAGCTGCCTATACAACCTTCCCCCAACTTTCCCTTTAAAAGGAAAGCTTCTATCAGGAACCCCAGACCCAAAAAGAGGACACTGAGGAACTCTCTAATGTAGACCCATGATTAACAAAGCCCCTCCCCTTAATAGGGATTATAATCGGGATCCTAACATTAAGGCCCTCAACAGGAGGGGCTTAATTAAACATTGGTCTACAGAATACCTCTAAACCCTCAATCCTAAATAGTAGTTTCCATTTTCTTTTTCCATCATTACTATATAACCCTACATAGCCCTATCATATCCTAGACGCGCATGAGGTGTTAGGGCGCAAGGTTCGGGGCGTGTTAGGTTCAGGGTTTTAGGTTTAGGGTTGGTTAGGTGGACCCCCCCACACTGCAAGAGTCGGAATATAAAAGGGCCCCTAGTACCATCACGCGTATCCCTTGTAGTCACTAGTACTAACCCTATAAGCCCTACACCCTTGACCTTGAACCCTAAAACTGAAACCTAAACCCTGAACCCTAAACCTTAAACCCCGAACCCTAAACCATAAACCCGACCCCTTCGTGGGTCCACCTAACTTGCAGCGCTTACCCAGACCCTCCTTTGTAGTTCTTTTTTTGGGTAGTATATAATAATCCCTTACCCAAAAACCATAACAAACCCAAAAAGGAACTACATTGGAGCCTTTGGGTAACTTACCATATATAACACCCATATTACCCTATGTAACCGTATATACCCCCCTATATAACCCCTAAACCCTAAACCCTAAACCCTATATCCTTAGCCTTAAGGACAGGTATGGGTCTGCGGGATGAACCACAGGATGATCCTATGGAAAGCCTCGAGGTTCCCCAGTCTCACAGAAACCCCAAAATAAAATGGGCAACAAGGTACTACTGGGGTACCTAGGCCTCCAGAAAACAGAAGATGGTTTGGGGTTTGGGGATTCAGGGGTTTAGTTTGGGTTTTAGAGTATAAGATTAGGGTTTCAAGCTTTTAGGGTCGTTAGATTTTAAGGTTTTGGGGTTTAGGGTTTCAAGGGCAGGGTTTTAGGGTTTAGGGTTAGGGTGTACTACATATCCCGGGTTTCGCTAAAACTAAACATCTTATGCATTGGGAACTATGGCATTACAGCATACTTGCTAAGGTCGTGCAGGATTTTATGCAGCAACAGTAAAACTGCGAGACGCAACGCCTCGCGCGCATGTCTCAAGAATTTCATGTTTTGTGCAGAAAGTCTCGTACATATATCCGGAAAACATGCGGTACGCAGGGGGACTCTAATTATTGGAGGTGTGCCCCTGCCATGGATAGCGCTGATCCGACCATGGAAGGTCGTTACTCATGATCAAAACAGGACTGTTAACCGGCTCTATCGGTTCTATAAACGCAGCCGGCTCTTTGCATGGGTCTGGTTAGGACGTGCTGGTGCCTTGCTCGTCCACGAAGAACGGCCCGGGAACTGGCTCGGCCAACCACGGCCGGCCTTTGAATGGCACAAAACACCTCGGAGGCCGTCTCTCCCGTTCCTCGTTGAGCTGGTCCGCGACCCGTCCTGCTGCGTCCAGCACCGTAAAGCCGCTGGCTTCGATCAATCGCATGGTGGCGGCACCGCGTAATTGATCTCTCACGATCCTCCAACTGTGCTCTGACACGCTAGCCAATCTGCTTTCTTGCATGTTCTGCTGCGTCTCCTTGTCTAGCACCGTCCGGTCTGCATGCATGGCAGGTTGACTCTTGTCGCCACACCGCTGGTAGTGTAGGGCAGGAAGGAATTGTAGCGATCCCTGATTCCCTACTACTCACTTATGTTGGCCTCTCCATCCCTGCTCAGTCGCCGCTTCTAAGGACATGCACTAAACCGTAAACCCTTTTTCCCAACCCTTGTATCAGGGACATCCCCAGGTGGATAGTTACCACGTACTGGTCCTGCATGAGCCATAGTCTAAACTCCCAGTATCCCCCTTAATAACCCATATAGCAGCGCCCCATATTATAACCCCCTTTGAGGAGTTTAGAGAGTAGCTCATATAGAGTTGGAGAAAGATACTGGCGCTAAAGGGAGGTCTATACAGGCATTTTCTTTTGAAGGGTACCAACCTGATAACTACCCACCTTGAGGTCTCCTTCATTGTTGGCCTCAAATCTTCCGTCCCACCGAGCTTTACAAACCAAACCCTAAACCTGAACTCATGGAAAGTCCTCAACCTGCTCCACGAATGAGCCCAGATTACATCTTTTTGGGCCACTACAAGGCCAGGTCCCACTGCCAATCTCTCAAATCTAAAGAAGCCAAAGCCCTAAACCCTAAACTTCCAACCCTACGTCTTAAGTCTTAAGAACCCTCTCCCCCCATGATAACCCCCACACATCCTAAGACTAGATATTCACCCTCGTACATAATGGTGCTAGGATTTATCTTAAGCAATAAGTGGGGGAAAACTCTAAAACCCTAAAGACCCTAAGCCCTAAACAGAAGAACATATGAGCTATAGTCTAAACTCCTTAAAGGGGGATATATAGGGTATTATATAGGGGAGTATCATAGGGGTTATTAAGGGGGATACTAGGAGTTTAGACTATAACCCCTACAATCCCCTACATAATCCCAGTTTCCGTTTCATTTTCCATTTTCTTTTCCATTTGATTCTCCATTATTAAGGGGGATACTAGGAGTTTAGACAGTAGCTCATATTCTTTTTCCATTCTATCTACTTAAGGAGGACTATACCCTAAACCCTAAACCCTAGATAGTAGTTTCCATTTTCTTTTCCATTATCCCTATATAACCCCTAAAAACCCTTTAAAGCACCAATGCCAAGGGGCAAGGAAGCCTGGAACAATCGCTTGTCTGGCTTCAAGGCGAAGAATCCCACATTCAAAGGCTCTCCGACACCTGCGCGGTTTGGGGATTAGGGGTGTTAGGGTTTTAGGGGCTTTAGGGCTAGGTAGGGGTTTAGGGGTGTAGAGCTTGAGCAGTTTAGGTGTTTAGGGTTTTTTGTTTAGGGGTTTTGGGGCCCCCTTAACACCCTGAACCCAAAGGCCTCCAAACCACCAAAAGTCATTAACAGTTTAGGGATTTGGGTTCAGGGCTGTAGGTACTCCCGAAAGTCTTCCAAACAGAGCCCGCTTGAAAGCTTAAAGATAAGCTAGACCCTAAGCCCTGATCGCCTCAATCCTTCACCGGGACCCGACATCGCGCGAAACTCTAGACCCTGAACGCCTCAGGCCCCAAGCCCCAAAGACCCCTACCCAGACCCTCCTATGTAGTTCCTTTTTGGGTAGTATATTATAATCCTTTGATCAAAAACCATAACAGACCCAAAAAGGAACTACATTGGAGCCCTTGGGTAACTTACCATGTATAACCCCCATATTACCCTATTTAACCCTATATACCCCCCTATATAACCCCAATAGTATCCTATATAAAGCCCTTGGGTAAAGCCTAAATGCGGGGCCTCCGTTGGTAGAGAGGAACTTCCCGGAGGCGGCGCAGCGAAGCACAGGGGTGATGTCGCCCTGCGATCCGATCTACTGGGTTGCTATGAAGGAACTTTTTTTAAGTTACTGTATTGGGGAAACCCTATTATTTACTATCTATTGCCATTATGGTAACTTAATTTAAGTTCCTTAACAGCAACCCAGTCTACAGAAGGCTGAGGGTGCAGGGAACAGGGTTTGGGGCTACCCGGAACCCTAAACTCTAAAACCTAAACCCTACCCCTAGAAGCCCAGGTACCCATATAGTAGGTCATTAAGTTATAGATAATATATTTTTATATATAGGGACTTAAGGACAAGAACCCAATATATAGGTAACTGGGCTTCTAGGGCTAAACAAGGTGTCTTAGGGCCTAGGGAGGTCCGCGGCTGACTACCCGAATGCTGTATCAACGGGGAGCCTTCAGTGGTGCAAGATGTCCTCCGCACTATAGCTGTAAGTTCTAGGTATTACAGGGGGTCTACCCGGATTATAAGTACATCTCGCACAACCCTGGGCCTGTAGGTAGGATCCGAGTATCTACATGGTAAATCATCTAGGGTTTAGGGTTTGCCGGTTGAGGATTTTAGGGTTGAAGGGCGAAGGGTCCGAGTACTTCTATTTAGGCCACGGACTGGTCCCAAATGCTTGGCTAGAGGAACACAAGTACAGAGTGCCTGAGCTCTTACTAGCTACAATCGGATGCTTGGTACCTTACAAGGTAAGGCTCAGGATTGTGGAAGGTTTGGGGGTTAAACAACGATTCAAGGGCGTTGTTCCCTTGATTTAGTAGCTAGGCTACAGGCATGTATGATCGTTTCTTACCAGTACTACTCCCAACATGGGTGCCTGGAACTCGATGTCGGTGTCATAGTACGCCACTGCATCGTAGCCCTCCATGCCGAGCACGTGCAGGCGAATGAAGTCCTTCTACTCGTAGGGTTTGGGCCCAGGCATGTGGCACTTTTTCCACAGTGATCCCTGCACAAGCCTAATATCCCGCTCCATCCAAGGCGGTCCCAGCCACCCCCCCCATCCCATTTTTAGCAACTCCTATAAGGACCCTCTTTTCTTAGACCTCTAAACCTTTTATAAACCCTAAAGCCTCAAACCCTAATCCAAGAACCTCCTTAATGCACGTTGCGGGCATGTAGTTTGAGGGCCAAAACTCGCTCCTGGTGCCCGCACCATCCACCCTCCTTGTAGCCCTTCATGTTCCTGGGCTTTGAGCGTACGGTTTCGGGTTTAAGGATTTACGTTTAGGTTGTAGCCCGTCTTGTTCAGGACCATTTTTGGCTGAGGGGCCCCGAATCAAGGACCTCATCCATATGATCCTCCCTGGGTGCTGTACAGTACACCGTCCCGGTTTCAGGTTTTGGGGTTTAGTCGCGTCCCCTATATGGGGACTGATGAAATCCTCCCCCAGATCCTTGCAGTCATGTGGTCATGGCGCCCTTGAGGACTTATGTCGGAAGTTTTCCGTACCTAGCCATCAGTCTCCCTCATGAAGCTCTTGAGATTGGATGCCGCTCCTGTGGGAAGGTTTCGGATTTTCAAGCTAGCCAGTCAGCCGAAGTAGGGGTTGGGAATGTAAAGACGAATCAGTCCTTTTGCAAAAGCCCCTACAACCAAAAAGCATGATCAACCCCCCTTGATAGAGATAGTCCCTATACTTTATGAACCCCAAACCTTAAACTCTAAACCTCAAGCCCTAGTACACATTCGCCTTACCAAGCCTTCTCGCCTAAAGCTGCCCTAGGTGAACTGACCGAGACTCGGCGGCGTGTCCCAATCCACGTCGAGCAGCTTCACTCCTAGAAACGACGGGGTAGCACCATGGGGCCCCTTGCATACCTAGGATATACCCTATATGAACTATAGTCTAAGCTCCTAGTATCCCCCGTAGGTAACCCCCTTTACAAGCCCCCATATAGCCCCTCTTTAAGGAGGTTAGACTATGGCTCATACTCACCGAGGCTGAGTACCAGGGCCCATAGTTTCAACTTTCGGAGTGAGGCTATGAATTTGTGTCTAAGGGTCCCAGTACCTGAATAGGATGTAATGCGGAGTTCCTATCTAGATCCTTCAGGCCCACATCCTATGTTATGTGGGCACTTGGGTCCTGAGGATTTAGGGTAGCATGGGTAGCGACTTAGTGCTTGGTTTTTTTCAAGCCAGGGCTTCACGAATGAGGGTTTGGTGTTTGGACTGGGATGAAGGGTTTGTCAAGTCCCTAAAATCCTAAAGCGTTCTGGTGCTATAATGTAGACCCCTGATTAATAAACCCCCTCCCCTTAACAGGGATTATAATAGGGATCCTTCAAAGGAGAGGGTTTATTAATCATGGGTTACATTAGGGCTTCAAGGAGCTTTGAAGGGAATGTAGAATGTTGTTGTTCGTCTCGGCAGGTTCGCAATCTACCACTGAAGCTTTGGTGCTTCAATGGTAATGGAAGGTTTGATGTTGGAGGAAAAAAAACCCTAAACCAGAAACCCCGACCCCTAAACAACCCCAAAATCGTAAAACTGTCAGGCACAGAGACCCTGACCAAATTACGCGTCCCATTTCGAGAGCTACAGTATTGTTGGTGGACGAAATCGTGCATGATGCTCAGCCCACTACAGTACCCACGGTTTCAGTCTCAGTACGTACGGACACGCAGAATTCTCTCCATCGACCGTATGGCACGCTAATTCGCAGGGCATGTTTGGAAGAACAGTTGAGCAAGAATCACCCCTGCGCCTTTTGCATCTAGCTGCGGCAATTGTTTGTTTGGTTGCTTGTTTTGTTTGCTTGTTGTTTAATGCTTCGGATTTAGGTTCTAGATTTTTGCCTTCTGGGTTTTTGTTCAGTCTACTTGGAATGATGGAGAACCACGTGGCAGAGAAATTGAAGATGAAATGGAGCTCGGGTCATACAAGGATTCCAGGGTCTTGAACTAAGCTATCCCATTATGGATTTGTAATAAAAAAGTGTGCTTTCCTCAGAACATTAACCAAGTTGAAGTTCCTTCACAGAAGCCCAGGTCAAACCCTAAATCCTGAAACCCAAATCCCAGTTCCCTTAACTCTTGACCTGCCAAATATCTCTGTAGACCCTCACGACCATTCGCCCAGACCCTAAACCCTAATTTAGGGTTTAGGAAACCCTAAGGGTCCAAGGACCCAAATAATAGGGCTTTAGGGCCCAAATACCATAAACATTATAGCATTTGGGCCCTAAAACCCTAATATTTGGGTCCGTGGACCCTTAGGGCAAGAGACGTTCTCGCGTCTATAGTAAAACGCAGCTCGATAAACGCAAGCACAGAAAAACTATGAATCGGAGCGATGCCCAACATTTGATCGAACGCAGCCAAGAAAACACGCACACGCATACACACACACGGCGTCAGCCTTCCAACCCAAACCCTAAGGGTCCAAGTACCTAAAAATCATATTCTTACCCACAACCTGCACTATAATTACTATTACCCAAAACCCCAGTACCTAACTATTGGGTGCTTGGCCCCTTAGGGAAAGCATAACGCCTAAACCTTACGCCGGGAAAACCTAAAGAGTTTCTCCTAGGTCAACCTTAAGGGTCCAAGGACTCAAGTAATAGGGTGTATGGTTTAGGGCTTACAGGACTTAAATAATAGGGTTTTAAGGCCCAGATACTATAATACTCATGGTGTTTGGGCCCTAAAACCCTACTGTTTGGGTCGTTGGACCCTTAGGGTCAAGAATACCCAGAAAGCCCAATAGTCCTTAACTAGGGAATATATACCTTAAATCATATTAGTGACCCTATTATTAATTAGGGAATATACCCTGGATCATGTGAGGGATCCTAATATTGTTTAGGGTATCTCCCTAGTTTAGGGATAGTGGGCGTCCTGGCAGCAATTCATCCGATTCCACCGCCTCACTTCAGGCACAACTAGCCTTTAGGGTAGTTAAGGGTGGCACCTAATTAAGCCATGACAATTCCCAGCGCTGCGACTCATGAACCCGAGAAAGTTCAAATGTATATGATCCAGAGGCGTTAAGGTCACGACAGTTCGTGAGCCAAAACCCTTAACTCAAGCCCTGGGCCCTAAACCAAAAATCCTACATCCTGCAGTTGCTATGTCCAATCGGCCTCCAAGAATAGGACCCTTTGGCCCTGAGGCCCAGTAAGAACCACATCATGACTCATGACTGATTAGGGTTTAGGGTTACCGTCTACGCATCGTTCCAACAGGAAGATTCTTAGTGCACGATATCAGGACGAACTGCAGGAGGGGAGTTTCCAATGGGGGAATGCATATAAGCGGTATATAAGCGGTATATAAGGGGTATATAAGGGGTATATAAGGCGTGTATAAAGGCTATACAGGGACGATGGACAGTAATATGAGGCCCTACATGGTAGTTCCCTCCTGTAGTTGCCCTAGACAACAGGATCTTAGCTTAAAGCCTTCAAGAAATCAAACCTCAGGCCTGTGTATGGAATAACTCCCTCTCAAATGGCAAAGACTGTTCGAAGCTGCAGGGAGTGAGACACTTCATCATGTGTCGCAAGCTAGAAAGAACATCTAACTAGGTCACACAACCGTTAGCCCGCGAACCTTGACCTGCAAATCCTGAACCAAAGGCCCTGTACCCAAAGGCTTTGAACTCCTGAAGGCCCTACGCCTTGAACCCTAAACCTAAACCATAAGCTTATCCCTACGATCTGACAAAACCTGAACCCCAATCCCTCGAACCTAAACGCAAAACCCAAACCCTCAGCCTTTTTAGGGTGTAGGATTTAGGGTTTACGGTTTAGCTAGATCCCCTAACCAAAAGCAACTACAGACCTAAGACCTGAACCCTGAACTCCCAAATCCCGAGCCGCTGAACCACCTCTTATGTAGTTCCTCGATACACCCTACAAAAAAAACACATGAAAGAACATAAATACATAGAAGATCCCTGGGACCTAAAGTCTACCTCGAATAAGCCATGTACCCCTCAAAAAATGGGCTTCGTACCTAATTTCTTGGTATCTGTGCGTACTTTGTAAGGATCCAGGTTACTCTTGGTACCCTGAACCCTAAACCAAACCCTTTATCCCTCCCTAGGGCCCCTTGAAAGGGACCCATGGTTAGTCTAGGCAAGCCCTTAACTCAAAGGTTGAAACCATGGGCCC